CCCAACTCCCCAATCGGCCCTGCTCTGAGCCCGACCAGGGGCTGCACCTAGGGATTGGGCCTGCCCTCTGCCACCCGGGAGCGGGCCTAAGCCAGCAGGTCATTATCTCCCGAGGGGTCCCAGACTGCAAGAGGACACAGGCCGGGCTGAGGGACCCCCCTTCCCCCACGAGTGCACAAATTTTTGTGCACCGGGCCTCTAGTCCTATATAATAAAAGGCCAGTGACTGAATGGCGGAACGACCAGAATGACCGGTCGACCAGTTGCTATGACACACACTGACCACCAGGGGGCAGATGCTCAATGAAGGAGCTGCCCCCTGGTGGTCAGTGCGCTACCACAGTGGGAGCACCACTCAGCTGATTGGGATGAGCGGCTGCTCCTGCTGTGAACCCCAGGCCAATGGGCAGGAACCTGGGCTGCTATTGTCACTTCCTTACCCCAGGCTCCTCCTCCTTGTTCCCTGCTGCCTGCTCCAGGCACCCATAGGCAGCACAGTGCTGCCAGGCTCGCAGAGCTGACCCTGGAGGATGGGAGGCAGGTTCGTGGCTGTGGCGGGACTGAGGCCTACTCTGCTGCCTCTCAGTGCTATTGTCCCTGGGCCACGGAAGATGCTGGACCAGGAAGCAGCCATTCAGAGGGTGAGTCCACAGCCACTCAGCTGACCAGGAAGAGCCGAGCTTCCACAGCGGCCAGATGCCCGCAGGCCACACCCCCCACCAGTGCACAAATCCCATGCACCGGGCCTCTAGTGCTAAAATAAAAGGAGAATTAGACTGAAATCCAAGAAATGAAAATATGCAATATAACAGACCCACAGGTAATTCAAATATTCAAGTGTTGAGCAGCCCATAAAGGATGAGAAGGAGGTCTGATACCTTCAGCATCTTGGGACAGTACCTGTGGGGATCCCAGGTAAGTAGAGTCAGTTTCAGGGCCACGCTGAGAGATTATCTATGGGGGTGAAGGGGTTTGAGATAGGGGAAAACCAAGGGACTCACCTGTACTTATTCCTACCCATCCCAATTCCATTTTGCAGATGGGAAACTGAGGCTCAGAGCAGGGTTATGCTTTTCCTGAGGCCACCCATATTTAGTGGCTAGAATCCAGCTCTCCTGCCTTTAAGTTGTGTATAATGTTGTGTACCTCAATGAATAAAGTTACTGTAAGGATTCAACAAGCATTTTGAAAGTTGCTTAGCCCAGTGCCACTAAATGGAAGTTAATTTGTACTTGCAAATTAATGGTTCTCTTTATCCCTCCCTGGTTCTGATAGTGGCTTGGGAATAATCACAGACTAACAGAGCCTGAAAGAGGAGAGGGTGACCAAGGGGCATTTTTGGATGCCCAAAGAGGGGGTCTACACTAAATCTTTGCAACAGTACTCTCTTATGAGACAGATTTTGGTACACTTCTTTTAAAAAGAGGGAAATAGAAGCTTGGAGAGGGAAAGGTACTTGCCCATTCTTCTCTCTTTCTTTACAGAACTCTTTTCTTTTCTTTCCTTTTCTTTTCTTTTCTTTTCTTTTCTGTTCTTTTCTTTCTTTCTTTTTCAAATTTACAATTTATTTGAGTTGACTTTGGGAATATTCCAGATTTCTTTTTTTATTATTGCTTAAAATATTACAAAGAGTATT